ACGAGGCGTGCAGGTGCGAGGTGACACAGAGCGGGCAGACGCAGAAGGTGCCGCTCTTGCGCGACGGGCAGGCGGCCACCGACACGGCCAGGGGCGACGGCACGCCCAGCGGGATGAGGAAGTCCTGCCCAGGGGGCGGGTGGTGGTGGTGGTGGTGATGATGATGATGCTCCGGCAAGGAGGCCGCCGGGCGCGCCGAGTCCTTGATGATGAGCGAGTCCACATAGAAGGAGCGCGACATGGCTGAGGGGGCCGTCGGGTCGGTGGCGCTTCCCTCTCCCTGCGTGCGTGCGTCCCTCTTGGCCGGTCCTCTTGGGGCCGAGCCTCTTCTGCCAAAGCCCTCCGGCGAGCCCAGAAGGTGCTTATGTCTGAGAGGCGAACAAAGGGGGGCTCTGGAGAGGGCTGGTCTTCAACATCAACACTCCCCCCTACACACACACACACACTTCTCTAGAGACCTCCCCTGGTTCTCTCCCCCCCTCCTACTCCCGGCGTGGGGATTTATAGCACCTTGTTAACACGTGATGCCTGGAGGTCGACGTTCATGGAAAGCTCCCCGGGCTCTTTATTGGGGAGTCCTTTCAGAGGATGCCCACCCACCCACTTTCCATCCCTCCCTCCCTCCCTGCCTCCCTGCCTGCCTGAGATAAAACAGAGAAAGGAGGGGATCGAGAAAGAAGATGTTACGTGCGCGCGTTTGGTTGATTTCACTGGAACTTCAAGATGCCGCCGCCGCCGCCACTCGGTCAGAAAGGCGAGGAGCCGCACCTGCCCGGCTGCTCAGACGACAACCTGTTCCGACGGCAACCTCTTCTGGCTGGAAGGCTAAGCCTCGATGGGACAATTTTGTTGATGGGTTGGTGGGGTTTCGTCGCAAGTCGCGACAACTCGAAGGCAACAAAACGAGAGAAAATGGAAGGCGGCTGAGACCAACCGTTTCTCATCTTCTCTCTTGCTTCATCACTCATTCTTCTTATTTTTAAAGTAACCTCTTTTAAGCCTCACCATGTGCAACAGTGGCTTCTCTGCTGAAGCCAAGCCCGCCACGTGTTTAGGTCTCCCTCCCGCTTCTTATTTTGGGATGACACATTAAAGCTCTGGTCACTTGTCCCTCTTTATTTTCTTCAGGCGTCTTTTCCACCAGGGACGAGCGAGGAAGTCATGTCACATAGAAAGAAAAGTAAGGACTGGGATTTTGCTAAAATCCTACTGGTCCGTGCATAGGTGCTTTCAGCTAGGGGTGCGATCCATCGATCTTAAAAGAAGAAATGTAGAGCAGTTTTAAAGTTCACACGGTAACACGGGAAAGCGAGTCTGTTCTGATCCACACTTACGGGAAAGTAAGTTCTTTGGAATTTAATACGTTCAAAACTAAGTAAGTTCTTCTGAATTCGGATTTGCCTGCTGGGGATAGGCTTTTAGGAGCTTCAGGGCACTCTTTCCAGATAGGATGCCTCCAGCTATTTCAACTTCAAAATGACCTTGAGGACATAGTTTCCTGCCTATAATTTCAAAACTCATTTTAGAGTTTCGAGACCTCCTTTTCCACTGAAAATAAAGTTTACAGCAGGCGAATTATTTTCTGTGTGGCTCTTCCCTTGCGCCCTCAGCAACGGTTTAATTTATTTCTAGAAGTTCAAAGCTTTAGATTTAAATATTAATTTGGCAGTAGCTCTCACTGACTTCAATAAAATTCATTCAGGAGCAAGTTTTAAGTCCTATAGAGTTTTACTGAACCTGTTACCGTATGCAGAATCGAAACCTGAGCTGAGATTTGCTTCCCAATAAACTTGTTTCGAATTGGGAAAAATGTGTGTATAACCCGGTATACACATATTAAAAAAAACGGGGAAATCGGCATATATGACATTATACCACTCTCTGTAAAACTGAGAGTGCTATCTTATATTGTTCTAATTCTAAACATAATTGCTAGAAAAAAATAAGCTGTACAGACATGATAGGACATTTCTGAGTAAACATAATAACCTCACAGATTTAGAGGAGTTTGAGAAGAAATACGAAAGGGTCAATAAGACACACACACACCCAAAAAACTCCAACTCTCATGGAGTCAGTAAGACCAAAAAAATTGTAATTTAATAGACCCTTTTATGCCCCCCGCCCTCCAGAAATCCAGACGTGTCCTGCTCTCCTCGTTCTCGGTCTGTTGTCAATTTCAAGTGCATTTAAAAAAAAATCTAAGAACCGGTTGTCCTAGATTTGGTTGCCTTCTACCCTCCTTGATATGAGCGGCTCACCTTAACCTTGTTCCCCTATAAGCTCATTTCTTTTAGATTCCTCGGGAATCAATGGAAGCGGGGGAGGGGGTGTCGATGTGCCAGAACTAAGACAGGCTACTTCAACTACTTCAAACCACAATTGATCACTACAAATGTAGTTGAACTCAGTGGCATTTACTTGTAAACATTTGGCAGATGGAGACAGAGATAGGGGAAATTATGACATACTGGTGATAATAATAATTCAGTGATGCTTATTTCCAGGAAAATGTGCCTAAAACCGCAGTGTAAGTTTCCTAGTCCTGTGCACATTTACCTGGGAGTAAGCGCCACTAATCACAGTTGGGGCCAGCTTCTACGTATAAGAGTGCATTCTACGCCTACTTAGAGCTTTCCAAAGGGGTACCTGATGGACGTGGGCCTCAAAACCAGCGACTATATATTTGGCACAAGTTTTCCTGAGCCGCAGCCTGCTTTCCCAATAGACCGCAGTCCTCTAAACTTCCGAGAAATAAAACCTGTCCGTTTTTCAGGTGCCACAAGATTCTTTGCTACCTTTCTTTCGAGACAGAGAGGCTAGTCTCACCGAATCAGGACGAGTAACCCAAGGTTAAGAAGCAGTGCTCTTAACTTCATGCGAAATAAAACCTGTCCGTTTTCCAGGTGCCACAAGATTCTTTGCTACATTTCTTTCGAGACAGAGAGGCAAGTCTCACCGAATCAGGAATGTTCTGCGCAGTCTTATCTGCCCGATCCTATGGAGGGAGACCCAGGGCAGTGTCTCTAGGATTATAGCCCAGGAATAATCCAGAAAGAAATAATAAGTAGAAAGAAAGAAAGAAAGAAAGAAAGAAAGAAAAAGGGAAAGAAAAGAAAAGAAACGTGGATTTTGTCAAATTGGCAATTAGTTCAGTCCTCAAAGCCTCAAACTCCTCCGGGCGCTTCTGGGCCGAAACGGAAGACTTTCAAGTCAAACTTTGGCCATGGTTGCGGCAGGCCTTCACTCCGAAAGCTTAATGCAAAGAGAAAACGCCGCCGGAAGGACGCCTTTGATCTCCACCAAGTTCGCCGAGGCGATCAGGCCGAGGGAAATTGGCTAAATGGCGAGAAGGCGCGCTCGGCGATTCTTGAGCATTTCGGATTTCATTAGAAAGAGGCCCAAGACACTTCGCGGCACATTACGCGATTTCCCCATGACCTGCTTCATGGGAGTTTAAGAAGCGGCTTATAGAGTTAATGGAGAGAAGATCATCCAGGCAGCTCAGGATGGGGGGTTGCTGCCGATCCCATTTCCACTTGATTTGGGCCCAACACTCACAAATCGCCTTTGAAAAGCATGAATGAAGCTCAGAGCGAGCAGGAGAAACAAGGAGTAATCTGGAATCTTGTGAGCATTTACTCGGAAAGAAAGGCGCACAGAATCAGATGGAAAGGAGTTTGTGGAGGATTAGACGGGAGAACTTAGAGATGCTCTTCCGTGTTTGCGCCGGATCGGACAGGTCTCCAATCTATTTGAAGAAGAAGAAGAAGAAGCCCCTTCTGTATGAACGACAAGCAGAACTTGGAAGTTACTGTTTTGTACTACACCTCCAAGCAGTTCCTGGCCAGCATTGACCAATGGCCATTCTAGCAGGGGAATTCTTGCAATTATAATTCAAAAAAGGAACGTTTTCAAACACTGACATTGTCAAATACTTGCAGTCAGGGAAGGCCAGCTTGTGGTCTTCCAGACATCCTTGGGCAACATCTCCCATCATCCCTCACCATCAGCTGTGCTTGCTAAGGCTGATGGGAGTTGCAGTCCAACAAAATCCAGAGGGCCACATGTTCCCTTCCCAGGTGGCAGAAGCTGGAGATCCAGATATACCACATCTTTTGGGGTTAGCTTGATTATTGATTATTTCAGGCCTGTTATGGGATCCCTTTTAATCAGCAGAGTCAAGGGTGTTTCCTGTAGGCATTTGAACTACTTTGGTTCTCTGCTCTCTGGACCAGTAAACCAGGTGGAGATTGAACTTAAAGAAAACACAGTTACTGAAATTTGTTCAGAAAATACATCTAAAGGAAACCCTGATACCTAAACTTGCTAGCTGACCCTGTGTTGGATCTGAGCACAAGGTCTGAGGAGGAGGAGAGGAGCCCTAGCTGGGGATGTTAGCAAGTTAAGAAGAAAAGACTACCCAGTACACAAGAAATTGAAGATCTGTTCTTTTCTTTGGGGCAAGAGGAAAGTGGAGAAAGAAGGGAAGGAAAAGAAAGAAGCAAGCGGCTGTGCTCCTAAACGTCCCCGTTGGACATTGTGACAGAGAGGAGCACACAGAGATGATGCTTCCAGCAAAATATTCCAGCACTTTCAACTAGTTTCCCATTTTAGTGAGACTTCTACAATCATCCCTTAGAACAATGGTTCCCGTCCAGCACTTTCAACTAGTTTCCCATTTTACAATCATCCCTTAGAACAATGGTTCCCAACCTTGGGTAACCCAGCTGTTCTTGAACTGCAACTCCCAGAAGCCTTCACCACCAACTGTGCTGGGCAGGGTTTCTGTGAGTTACAGTCCAAGAACACCTGGGTTACCCAAAGCTTGGAACCACTGCCCTAGAAGGAGACACCGATAATTTTACATGGAGTCAGAGCTTAAGTAATGGAGAAGAAACCTGTTGTAAGTGGAGGTGGCACTGAAATATGCAAGAACTCACACTTAGATGTTTGAGTCCCTCCATTTAATTGTGCTGTCCTGGTTTTATGTGAGCACTTGTTCTGGACAGGGACTCTTGTCTTTTCAATTGTGCCTCAATGGAATCCATATCAGCCACCATAGTCTTCCTTGCTGCATGAGTTCAGATGCACAAATTTGAACACAATGCATCATGCAAAACAATAGAATGTGGGCCTGCTGATGACATTCAATGACATTCACACCTGAAGCAGAGGGCCAAGGCACAGAGAAAAGATGGGCTAACTATACGCACCATGCTTCAAGTTAATTTTTCATTT